GTCCCTGTGCCTGTTAGGAAACACAAGGAGCCAACGGGATCCTTCTATTCACCATATTAACCACAACACTTTGTGCAACGGTAAATAAAATGAGCGGAAACATTCCCATGTCAATTTTATTTTCTTGCAACTTATTACGTTCAGACATCCTTAGCCACTTATTGTCATGAACCATTGTTACTGCCTTGGTCTAGAAGGGCGGGATAAAAATCTAATAAATAATAAAAATAATAATAATTGTGTGATTTCAGTGTTTCAAACACTGTCAACACAAGCGGTTTTTAAGGGCTTTGAGACCACAACGTATACAATAGGTGCTCAGTCTACTAGCACATGGAACTGTGGACTTCAACACAGGCGGAATACCGGAAATGTGGATTTCTCTCAGGACGCTAAACGTTTATTGGACTGGGAGGGTGACCTACCAAGAAGTAACAGGAAAGCTCAAGGAAGAAAACAATGACAAGCAGTGGACGTGGTTGGATAGTTAAACTAAGGGGGAAGAAAATTGAAGATTGCGTCGTTTTGAAGGACAAAAGAAATGTAGCATTCCTGGGAGACTTTGGTTTTTCTATCACTGTATTTTACAGTGGGCCACACATTGCAAATGTACTGCATTTCCTACTGTTGGTGGGAAATAGCTATATTTTGCCTAACACCTATGAGTTGATAGCAGTATTCGAGGCAGCTTCTCTTATACGGTTACCTAGTGCTTTTATTACCTTCCTGGCTTGGATTCCTTTTTGCTGCATAGAAAAGAAATCATAGAAAAGTGAAGTCGGAAGGGGCCTACAAGGCCATCCAGTCCAACCCCCTGCTCAAGGCAGGAATGCCATCTTCTTCCTGGCCTGAGGCAACGGGAAGGAGCACGGACACACAACCCCCTGCTCAAGGCAGGAATGCCATCTTCTTCCTGGCCTGAGGCAACGGGAAGGAGAGACGCACGGACACATCAGCCGGCTAGAACGGCCCAAGATCCGTCCATCACCAACTGCCCACACAACGCATTTTATAGCCACATTTATACAGGTGTGAAGGCTCACACCTGATATTCACAGGCAGACAACTCCTACAGTAGCTGAGAAGTTCATAAATCACAGCACCTACTTTACCAGACAGCCCAAAGCCTCCCTGCAAACACACACATACACACACTCAGGAGCAAAAGCGAGGCAGTCCCAAGCCTCCTCCGAGGACCCACACTCTCTAACTGCTGGAGCAAAAGAGCTACAAAGAAGCAGCCTCATCACCATCTACAGTTAGAAATTTGAATGTCCCACCTTTCCCCCCCTGCCTTTTTCTGTTCATAAGTGGAAGCCCTGGTCGCAAGTAGAAGCCAAATTTTGTGGCTGGAGCTGGTCATAACTCGAAATGGTCGTAAGTCGGGACGGTTGTAAGTCAAGGCGCTGCTGTACAAAATGTGGCACCTATTAAAGATTTGATTCCAACTCCGGAGACGGAGCCAAGCGATCTCTCTCTTTGGTCTCCCACGTGATGCAATTCTCGGAAGGGCCCGGAGCGGTCATTTTGCGAGTCAAAACGCCACGTTCAAAATCAGGCATTAGTCAAGGGAGGAAAGCAAAACTTTTTGTTTAGTCGTTTAGTCGTGTCCGACTCTTCGTGACCCCATGGACCAGAGCACGCCAGGCCCTCCTGTCTTCTACTGCCTCCCGGAGTTGTGTCAGGTTCATGTTGGTTGCTTCGCAGACACTGTCCAGCCATCTCATCCTCGGTC